ATCATGCGACATTGAGGACGACTGTGAATCTTCCGTGCTTGTAATGTGGCTGTACTGTTCTTTTCGTGGTGTTTAGGACGACGGCGGCCATATGAGGTATTGGATACAGGTTTGGAAGGGGTGTCTGGCGGCTCTGGATGCCCCAGCCGTTCCAATCGAGAAGTCATTGCGAAATACGGCGAGGGTGCTTGTAGTTGTGCTTGGACCTTCCTGTTCTGATATATATTGGTTTTGACTGAGTCTAAAAAGCTCAGAGGAGAAGTGATGTTGAGCTAATGTATCAGGTCTCTTGTGCAGTAATCACAGAATATCAAAGTCAGCAGCAAGAAGAAGTGGGAGACTCTCAGTGTGGAATTTAAATCTCTTGGCTTTTTAGTTAAGTTAAATAAGTCTTTATATCACTCTTCTAATATAGAGCTTAGATATAGCTACGAGTATCTTCTTAGATATTATTAAACGAGATTTAAGAATAAAAATATAGTTATCCAAGTAGCTAGATCTTAGAGAGATTCTCGCTTAGTATTTATAACTAACTAAACTTTAGATAATTATAAAATATAATATTAAGATTAGATTATATAGGCATAATTTCGGCGAAGGATGGACACATATCGCGCATAGTATGGCTGACGTTAGAAGAGTTAATGATGTGAAAGATGTGCTGCTGATAATGCGTTGAGTCCTTGTCGAGTAGAAAGTTGGAGGCTTACAGGAAAAGTACTCATTGGCGCTAATGAGCGAGCCACTTGGAGACGGAAAGCGAACTTCCACGGAGTTGTGGCCTTGGTCTACGGCTCACTTGCTGCTGGAAAGCGAACCAAGTTGAAGAGGCTTGATCTTCCCCGGTAGTGGGTATTGAATATACAGCTGTTCTTCATCAGATCTGAGCATATTAATTCTTGGGATAAGCAGAGTAGAGCGAGTGCCTCTAAAGATCAAAACTAGTCCGTCATCGACACGGAGCAAAATGAGAAAGCAGTGAAAGAAACCTCTTCACACTTCAACAGCTAATGAAAGCCAGTTTGTCTCATTCCTCGGATAGGTAAGCCGGACAATGCACCATCGCTCTATTGGCACTATTGCTAACCTCTATCCATTCGTGTCCTCACATAAGTAATAGTCTGCCCAATCTTTAGAGGCTGGCCTCTTTCGGTGAGCTTTCTTGCTCTTCTTCACAGGTGTAAAGTTGTAGCCATTGTTAGTGGTGTAAAAGCCAGCCAGCCACTGGTTGCTTCCTCGCGAGATTTGGTATTATAATAAATCTACGCCACCTTCAACTTCCAGAACAGCGTCTTTCCGACGACTTTATCTCCACTTATTCTCCTCAGCAAATGATCCAAATAGCTGAAGTATCGACAAACGCATTAGTGGCTATCGATTTGAAAATCACCGTGATTGTAATCATTTAGAATACTTCCCATGACCAGGCAACGCTCCCATTTCTGCAAATGCAAGGAGTACGTTACTCCACCATGAGTCAACGCGCCAATCTCGCGTCGTGTCCGAGCCAACCAATCTCGCCAAGCACAGCAATCCTGCCACGAACCCCTGCCAAGAGCGCGATCGCGTAAGCCGACTCGGGAAGTGAAGTAAACAAATCGCCTGTGCGATCCATGTTTACCTTCTTGGTCTCTGATGTGGCCTTGCAAGGAGGAGTTGGCTCTAAACGCGCTTCAAGAGTTCTTTGTTTACGTCTTGTCTCCTTCACTTTTATCAACTTCTATACTTCTGCCAGCCAACGAGTGTTGAGCGACTTATTTGAGTGCCAATTAATAGGAGGATACGGACATTACCCCGCCATATCTACGACACAATGGCCAACCTCGATAACGACAACACGATGGTCGTTGACGACGACAGACCTCTCTCCATCCGCCGCACCCGCCGCAGCAGTGCCGGCCTCTCCCAAAATTCTCGAAACTCCTCCCCCTATCCTCCCAGTCAAAATGCAGCATTACATCCCCACGGCATGGCCACACCTCCAGAAACACCCAAACGCAATAAGAAGAAAGTGCGGTTCTCGGACCCAGGACCAGCGATCACATCCGATTACGCGTCGTCGGGCCTCACGCCATTCATACGTCGCACTTCTCTTGCCACGCCCAAGTCGAAGAGGAGACAATCGACACCGGGGAGGTTGTGGAATAGGGCTGGCTTCGATGTAGAGCCTGCGAGTGGGACATTACAATTTGCGCCACTGAGACAGGTGTTGGATGGGAGGGTCAAGAGGAGGATTAAGAGGAATGGATTGAGTGAGGAGATCAATGTCATTGATTTCGACAAGAGAATGGAGGCGAGAGGGAGGAAGAGTGAAGTCGAGAGATTGAGGGGCGAGTTGGAATTGAAGGATAAGGAAGTACAAAGTATGCGGGACGAATTGGATATCGCTAGCCAAATTGAAGGGGAATCCGGGCACTCTCTACCAACAAACACGGCACTTGCCTCGAAAGTCCAGGAACTGGAGAGTCAGATCCGGCATCTAAAAGAAGAGCTTGGGAGGAGAGAGTCGGATAATGCAGATACGATTGAAGACACGCATAACTGGACCCTAGCAGCGAGGGATCCGTATGATTTTGAGGACGGGGATGATGACGAGATGATGATAACGAATTACGACGATGGTTTCCATGACATGACCGCCAACGACGAATTAATGACCACGCCGACGCGTCTCAACACCTCGTTTCCCTCACCACCATCCACGATGCCCAACACGCCGTGCAAATCAGTATACTCCCTGAACGCAGGCATACAAGCCAGTTTACCCGTTCCCGACCCCGAAAACGAGGAACTGAGAGATCAACTCCAGGTTCTACAAGCAGAGATCGCGAAACTTGCAAAGGTAGTCGCTCTTAATGAGGATAATGCCACGAGACTGAGCGAGAAACTGTCCGAGTTCATACCTGTAGACGAACCACACGATACAAGTACCCTGGACGCAGCCCTCGATACCGTACTCACGCAACTCGTACTCACGCAATCACAAGCCCTCGAAAACAGCACCGCGTTCTCCGCTCTCGCTTCCGAGATCTCAGCACTCGGTTTCTCGGGCACGAGTCCCGACGCCACGCTCGCGAATATCGCGAAACAATTCCGGCAAGCGAGACTCGATCTCGAGTACCTCGCTCCAGGGGAGATAGCGGAGGGATTCGAGAATGAGAAATTATTGGGGTTGTTGGTGGGTAGAATGAGGGTTTTGCTTGAGAAGGCGAAGCAGGGTGATCAGAGTGTGGATCAGTATCATGAGCAGGAACTGTTGTTGAGACAGCAGCTTAACGATCGGGTTAGTGTGATGGATGCTCTGAAGACTGATCTATCCTCGGCCAGTACACTAGTCGGGTCTCTGAGGGAAGAAGTCAGAGAGAAAGAGACGGACAGCGAGAGATTGCGGTCTGCTCTCGAGGGCTACAGATCCGAAGTCTCGAGTCTCGAAACCCTCATCTCACGCATAGAAGAGGAGGGACGAGAAACCGAGCAAGGTCTGAGAAGTGAGATGGAAGAGCTACAAGCGAGACTCAACAACGAAGTCGCGCAACACGACGTCACGAAGGCGATTAATGAAGGCAACGAGATCCTCCTTCCAGAATTGGAGAAACGACTCTCTGCCGCGTTGGAAGCAGCCGCTGATGTGCAAGCGCAATTATCCGCTTTGACAGCCACGCATTCCGCCATGCTAGCTGAGCGCGACGCAGCGCTGGCGCAGATCCTCAAGCTCTCACATGCAGCATCCACCGATGTCCAAGACCGCGAGTCCGTCATCGCGGAATTGAGATCCGGTATCCTCTCTCGCGAACAAACTCACGGCTCGGCTCTCGCGCTCCGCGATGCCCGCGTTGCTGAACTCCGAAGTGAGGTCGAGAGGGTCAATGAGGCGTTGAAGAGTGCGCATTCTACTATTCTGCATCTGAGGAATGAGAATAAGGAGGTTAAGGAGAGGGCTGAGAGGGGCAGGTTTGTGGTGAGAGATATGTTGAGGCAGATGGGACGCGCGGAGGAGATGGGGAGGGGGTTTGCGGATTTGGAGGATGTCGTGAATGGTGTGGAGGAGAGGAGGGCGAGTGTTGCCGGAGTGGTTAGTATGCCGTCTGCGGGAGATGGAGGTGTGGTTAGGAAGGGTGCGGGAGATGGAGGTGTGGTTAGGAAGGGAGGCATGTTTGATGCTGGGCTTGCGAGACGGAGTAGTGCGGGGAAGAGTGGGAGGAAGAGGAGGAGGAGGTATGATAGTGGATTGGGGTTCTTGGAAGAAGGCGAGGAAGATGAGACGACGGAGGTTGAGATGTAAGGATGTTTGGCGGGCATATCTTATTTCATTTATCATTGTCATGTTGATGTAGTAAGTAGTGCTGGGGAGTTCGGCGTCTATGCTTTTTTTTTCATAGTACCTCTGCCATATATTTTTTGGTTCAGTTAGTATTATCACGTAGTGGAGTTCGAGTAGTTTGGATATAGACATTTATCAGTAATTCTACTGCGAGATATCTGCTATGTCTCCTCTACGCTTATACTTGCTGAATCACTTATTGCGTCTGCTGTAGAGAGTCTGGCTCCAAGTGCGCCTTTCTCTCGCTCAACAGAAGAATCCTCTATCGATTAGTTGATCGATCGAGTGAGTCTGAGCAGTGGATGCAAAACCGAGCCTGGACAATTAATCTCCCTGTTAGCCAAAAAAATAGTCAGCAAGAAATAGATTGTCTTGTTTCCATATCAACAAGAGATCTCGCTTGCTTTTAGTGGGCTTCTCCCTCCCTCCCGTATCCAGGCTAGGTCAGCGCAGCTCTCCACATTCTTGCCTTACTTGCCCCTCTCCGCCCACCCACACCTTAGGGATAGATGAAAACTCTTCCTTTCCAAATTTCAGTATTTTATATATATTTCAATAAGCTCGTGTCGACATCATCACATGAGATTCGGGATACTTAAACGTCCGAATCGTCCCTCCCGTTCAAAGGGAAGGGATGTGACAGCGGTTACGGGCTCCGTAATGAGCACGGGATGATAGAGCCTGGATAGTTCAGTGGTAGAATACATGCTTTGGGATGAATCCTATGACATCTGTATGTGGTCCTCGGTTCAATCCCGAGTTCAGGCCTCTCGCTTTATCCTGTAGGGAGTTAGTCTTTTGATAGATACTCACTTACTCTTGTGATTTATTAATAAGCTGTGATGCTATTTTGTTGGAATGAGAAGGAAAAGAATGCTGCTGTTGAAGCGGACTTCGTGATGAGCGGGAGCGGAAGCGGAGATATTTGGTTCTGGTGTAACGAGGCCCGCTTAGGGTTATCCAGCCAGATTGGATTGTTGTTTTTTTTCGCTTCTACTGGATTTATTTGTTACTTGCGTTCAATTGCTTGGAATAAATATTTATTTATTTTATATTTCTCTATTTTAAAACGAGAGATTTCTTTTTTTTCGGCTACCCGAATATCAAGAGACGGAAAACTTCTTAGCTCTATCTATCATAGGTCCTGGGAGCTAAAACTGTTTTTACGTGACTTTCTGTTCTCATAATTATTAATTCCTCAAGTGGATATGTTTCACAGGCCAGAATTGACACAAGTCTTACTTTGAGATCGCTCGATTTCGATTAAGATAATTCATATCTAATCCACCTCTCATCTGTCAATATACCTAGAGTGGACGTCGAATTACTGAGGTGTCTTCTCACCGTCAAGTAAGTCGGGAATTTATCGAACTTTGTTGGCGGCGGCAAGAGATTTGCAGGCAACACGGACTTGTGCGCGCAAGATTCCCACAACTTCCTCGTCGTCCTTCTTTTGTCCACTCGAAGGCTCTTTCAACACCTAGCATAGAAAGCTTAACTGAGACACCATCTCAATGCCTCCGCGGTCTCGTCTCTTTCCAAAACCTGTTGGGACGGTCTCCTTTGCGCAGAATAATCAGGGTGAGAAGGAGGGTTGTCGTCGGTGAGGTTGTTCCCGAGTGATATTCGGTAAAACTTCCGCGGGTGGACGGAGCCATGAAGGCTGGCAAAATATCTGTCGGATGCAGCGATGATCCAAATCACATCGGTTACCCTGGAATCGTTACAGGACGGAAACCAAGCTCAAGAAATATTGTCTCGAGTGTGAGGGTGTTTGTTTCCTTATTTCCGCCAAAACTTCTGACTCATTATCAACACAACCTCCAAATCCACTAGCAATCGACACCAAATTCACCAATCCAATCTCCGACCTCTCCACAATCGCATCATCCTCTCAACTAGTGATATGCATACAGTCATTTTTGCCTCCATACAGATCCGGATACGCCTATTGTTCGCGAAAATACTATGCTGGGCTCGTGGTAGGCTAGTGGTTTCCCAAGCTGTGCGATATTCGTCCCTCTCATTGTCGCTATCCTGCTTGATACCAACCACGTAAGCCGGAGCAGTGCTCACAGCTTTATCGTAATGCCTTGTTTGATTAGAGACCTCAACTTTTCTAGTGTATTTCCAGCGTCCATATGTGCCATCAGTTCAGCCCTTTTGTCTTCCAGTAAAGTGTTGGCGTTGAATTCGTTTACAGACTCAGGAGAGGTCGGAATTAGTATTTCCTCTGATCGAACGCCCTGCACATTGAGAGATATCAGCACATTGGCTTTGTACGCAGGAGATCTACGTCTGATGCTACAGATGGGGAATGTACTTTGTAGATATCGATGCAAGGGCGAAGAACACCGAGAATCTGTTCCCGAGAAGCCGTTTGGAGCGATCCTAAAAACAGAAAAATCAACATTACCCGCTCCAAGGATCGGACGGATTTCCTCTGGGAGGTGGAGTCGTAGTCGCCAAGAACACTTGAATTTGCGCGAGATTGCGGAATCTATTTGTATAAGAACGCTTCTTCAATACTCTTTAGAAGCAACTAAGTAAATATCAGTTGTATTTGATGGATAATGATAAAGCTTGCTTCGATTCAGGCCAAATGCCAAGCGCCAGCCACCGGTATCGTCTGCCACGTAGAGTCACAACTCATAAGTCAAAACCACGATTTCGGTTGCAAGCAAATGAAGGAACAATAATTAGATGAAACTCGCACTTGGGAACCTAATTGCGCCTGAGAGGTCTCATTTCTGAGACGAATATGGCGCCGAGCGGCCGAAAGGCGCACTGGGCTTCCTGAGGTGAGCAATGCGATCCTGAACCTTTATCAACTCATCTCTTATCATCTCATCATATGTAGGATACTAGTCTATGTTAATAAATAGTGTATGAATGAAGGGCAGATGCTCATAGTTCTAATTAATGCGTATCATTTTAAAGGAGACAAGATGGAAAGCAGTGAATTCTTGCACGAGTCTAACTTTTCCTTGCCGGCGCTTTGTTTGACTAAGAAGGGAAGTTTGGAATTTTCGCAGTGCACCCACTTCTTGCCAATGGACTCACTCGCTTGCGCAATATAAACAATGCTCTTCCCTTCATCTAAATAAATACAATGGGGGTTTTACCGAGTACGCTAAGCCGTCAGCTTCGGTACGTCAGAGTGGGAGCTACCCCGCCCCCGCTTTGAACGGTCGTCTTCCAACATCAGCTGCAGCAAAGTTCATTCATCTTTTCAATCGACCAATTAGTCAAGAGGACCTATTTAGGATCCTTTTGTAAACCCCCCACTAATTTATTTTTGTCTATTCGCTTGCAACATGCTCGATATACTCAACCCATTCTCTAGCCCGTCTGCCACTAGCGAGATCACAGAATTACGGATCTACCCGATCAAATCATGTCGTGGAATTTCTATACAGAAGTCGTTCCTTACCAAACAAGGACTAGACCTTGATAGGAGGTGGATGTTTGTCGATGCAGAGACAATGAAGTATGTTTCACTATCTGCCGTGTGACTTTCCTGTAGATTGGTCGACATGTACTACACATCGGGATCGAGTAAATTACACCCATATTGACTATTTATTTGTACAGATTTATCACAATCCGGGACATATCGCAAATGACACTAATCGACACCTCCCTCGACTCTACCTCCAGCAACCTTACAATTTCCATCCACAACACCCCCCACAACATAGCAATACCCACCCGTCCCTCTGCCTCCTGGCTCGAATCTAACACAACCTTGTCCCGGGTCAATATCTGGGATCACGAGACCGACGGGTACGTCTACTCAGACGCCATTAACTCCATATTCACCGGATTCTTCTCCAAACCCGTGAAACTCGTCTATAAGGGTCCAACACCGCGAATCCTTCGCGGGAATGGTGCACCGGAACTTCTGGGTAGGGAAGAGAGCACGAATTTTCCAGATGTGATGCCTGTGCTCATTGCGAACGAGAGCAGTTTAAGGGAGTTGAATGGAAGGTTGAGGGAGAAGGGACATGAGGAGATCACAGTGGAGAGGTTTAGGCCGAATATTATTGTCAAGGGTGCTGAGGAGGGAGACACGGCTAGTAAAGGCGGATTACCAACTGCCTGGAGCGAGGACCGTTGGAAGACTGTACGGATATTACCAAGTGCTGAGCAGAAGTCAGGTCTGGCTTCTTTGCTTGGTGCTGGTGGTGATGAGAGGCCATTGGAAATTGATGTCCAGGCCCGCTGTGCGAGATGTCAGGTTCCGAATGTGGATCCTGATACGGCGGAGAAGGATAAAAAAGAGCCGTGGGATACTCTGGTCAGTTATCGGAGGGTTGACGAGGGCGTCAAATGGAAACCTTGCTTTGGCATGCTGAGCTGCCCGAGAAGTGAGGGAGACATTGCGGTAGGGATGAAGTTCGAGGTTGTGGCTACGACGGATGATCATAATTACATCAAAGGATTCTGACAGGGCTGCAGTAAGGAATGATCTCAAGGGCTACTCTAATTGTATTTTTACAGTACCTCTCTTCTCCATTTGTTGTCCAGATCTTGCGAGGGGTTTCAGGGCCGGGAAGAGGATTGAGAGTGGTGCTGTGCATATTGATAGTATGACTGTGCATCACGAGGCGGCATTGCCGCATGGTGGTGGGGAAAATAGTGGATAGGGAGGGTTTGGAGCTTCGGGGCTGGATGCGTGAGTGAAGACTAAGACGATTACGTTCTTGAAATAATTGAGGAGGGAGAGGCATTGCACATGTTTTTGTGACTTTCATCTCCTTGATACAGAATCAAATGTGAATAATGTCGAAATCTAATTGGCTGATCATGTCGGTTCGGTGCGAGACAGGTGATGATGGACATACAAATATGAATATCCCTCAGAGGTATCATATCTGCAAACTGATATACATTAGTATCCATCCAGCTCAACCGATAGTGTTCACTGAGCAGCAAGATGCTGATAGCCTGATAATCAGGGCCGAAAATTGTCCACTATCCCCAGCAAGCCCACACAATCTCGACTATCGTCACCACATCCTAAAGTCGCAAATGCTCAATCATTGGTAGCTGTAGCCCATGTCACGCATAGCACCACCGGTTCGCCACATCACATAGGGCTGAACAGATTACCCCTCTGGCTGTAAGCACCGGGGTAAACATCCCTGACGTCTCACGCTTTCTTATCAATCCTGGAGGCTGAGCGGAAAATGCTCGCGAAAACGGCGGCGAAAGGGAATATCACTCGCCAGAATACACAGGGCTGAATATCATATCACCAGATGGTTGTAAGCCCTGGGGTAGTTCTCACGCTTTCTCATCAGCCTTTGGAGCTAAGCGGGAACTGCTCACGGATTTTTTGTTGGGATAAGACATGACTTGCCGAAATCCATAGGGCGGAATACGATACTACTTATCAGCTATAAGCACTGAGGTAGTCATACGCTTTCTTATCGGCCCTGAGAGCTAAGCGAGAACTGCTCGCTGAAATGTCGACGAATGCAGACATCGCTCTGTGAGATATGATGATGTTGGTGGAGTAGTAGATACGAGGCTGCTCGTAATTCTCGTCTCAGATTTTGAGTCTGGTGATTGAGGATTTTTGTGTATGTGAATGGAACCGGGTATGTATAAACATCGTCTTCGCCTGCTTCCAATTATGTTATTATCATCACAGAAACATCTTTGGGCCTCCTTACATGCTATACTGTAGGCTTCATATCTCAAATTTCGCTTCTAAATTCCCTAATCTCAGTTCCTATTTTTGTTCATTCCCAATATGAAGC